TGGACATTGAGCCGATGTACCTGAGTCAAATTCCTCGTGTGTCCAGCACACCTGGCCAATAAAGCTGATTCTGATTCTGAAATAAACATTTAAAATTGAAAATAAAACGATCCTGGTTGGTCAACTGGTCTTTTACCTTAGAGTAATAGTTTCACTTTGATGCAGACTCAGAGCAGAGGGACCAACCAGGCCAGGGGCCCAGGTCCCTCTCCAGGCTCCAGCTCTCACACATGTGAACACACAAAGGAAACAAGAAACAGGGAGACTCACCGAGGCTCAACATTTATTGCAGTAAACAAAGAAGCTTCTGTTTGCAATGGTTACTACGGAAACAGCTGCAGCTTCATCAGCTATTCAAGGTGAATCACCTGAACACCAGCTGACACACGTAGGGTTTCACCACCCAACAGACCTCGTCGTTCCACGCACCCCAGACTGGAAAACAGGAACCTCAGATTCAAACTCACTGTGGCAGAACACGCATTTATGTACAAGTCATTTTGTGCTGTGTGGACGTCCTTCTTATAAACCTGACTATGACCTGATGACATGTTTCAGACTCAGTCCCCACTCTTCCCAGGTCGGTGTTGTTCTTTAGTCAGTCGTTAACTGATCAATTTGATCTTTACCATCACAGAGACCTTGTCAACAACCATGGGAAATGTAGAAAGGAGCTAATTTTGGACTCATGTTTGGGGATGTCCCGTTTGTAGAATAGGTACTTTATTGATCCCACAGTGGGGAAATTTCTGTAGAAATTTTTGTAGAAATAAAGATGTGGAGAAGCTTGAGCCGACATGCTCAGACTACAGGAGCTGAATGCAGTGCAGACTTTGTTCCAAACAACAAAGTGGAAAACAGTCTGTGCTGCATTCGTCTTGCTGATTTCTGAGTGAAAGACAGAATGTGTTACTTACCCCTGTAGTTCATCTCCGTACAGTCTTCCCTGAACAAAAAGTTGTCAGGCTGCATATGAGCCCATCCATCCATCTTCCTCCACTTATCCAGAACCGGGTCGCGGGGGCAGCAGTCTAAGCAAAGATGCCCAGACTTCCCTCTCTCCAGACACTTCCTCCAGCTCCTCCGGTGGGATACCGAGGCATTCCCAGGCCAGCCGAGAGACATAGTCCCTCCAGCATGTCCTGGGTCTTCCCCGAGGCCTCCTCTCGGTGGGGCCTGTGAGCCTGAGTACTACCTGAGAACGGTCCTCACGAAACCAGGTGGCGCCACACCCACCTGTTGGACTCATGTTTGGGAATGTCCCGTTTGTAGAAATAAAGATAGAAATGTGGAGAAGCTTGAGCTTACACGCTCAGACTACAAGAGCCGAACGCAGCGGCGCACACTTTGTTCCAAACAAAGTAGAAAACAGTCTGCGCTGCGTTCATCTTGCTGATTTTTGTGTGAAAGACAGAATGTGTTACTTACCCCCGTATTTCATCTCCATACAGTTTTCCCTGAACAAAAGGTTGTCAGGCTGCATACGAGCCCAGTTGGCGAAATGGTCCCATGACTCATCGATCCACTTAAAGGCTTCCTGACAAGATGGAACAGAGAACAGTTAAAGAGGAGTGTTTTACTGACTCTTCATCACTACTTGTGTTTCAGCCATCACTCGGCGTCAGGCAGGTGAAGAGTCGGCTGCTTACATCGCGCCGGGCTCCAATCCAATACTTCATCTGCTGAGGGTTGGTAGTGTACATGGTACATACCACCACCTTCAGCTCGTCCATGTCACTGACTGACACCAGGTGACCTTAAATCCACCCACTGTGAAATTGTTAGAGGCTGCCTGAAATGAACACAGAGAAGAAGTGTCAGTCGTCACCGTCGCCTCATCATATTTACTTCAGTAAAAGTACCAGTACAACGATGTAAAAATACTCCAGTTCAAGTATCGGCAGTACAAGTACACACGTATTCTCAGCTCTGATACCGTCGCCTCACCTGTGTGACTGTGTGAACAGGTCAAAGGTCACACTTCCTGTGTGTGTCTCACTTCAGCAGTGTCAAAGTTAACAGCTTTTTTGTCGAAGGCTATTATGCAGGTTACGTCATCCTGCTCGTACTAGGGTCTGTCTGGCAAAGAGCGTCTGCAACCGCTGAGTAGAGACAGAGAGAAGTGGCATCAGTGTTGGGCCCTGCTCTGGGTGGAGAGCATCAGGGACTGTGGTTCTTTCTCTGTGCAGAGCCCCCTCCCATCAGCATCATCATGGCAACAGCAGGACGCATGGTTCACAGCTCAGTGATTCCACAACTGGAAGAAGAGCTGGAAGCAGCAGTCACGTGTTAGGGTGTGTGATTGTACCTGCTGTTGTCTCAGTTCCAGGACAGAGTCACATCTTACAGCTCAGTGTGAAACCAGCACTTCACGCTCAGATGTAGAGCTGCAGGCTTCGTGTCTGCAGGGCCTCTGTTCAGGATGCACACAGCCCCAACCACCTTCACCGGTAAGCTAGGGCGGCCTGTGTAGCTTGACAGGTGAAACCCAGGGCAAACAGCAGCCTGTCATATCACCACTAAGCTGACTGCTGGGGGGGTTCACACTAATAACTGAAGACAGAAGGTCAGCATGTTCACCGGCTCCTATCAGGACTGTCTGAACATGTCAGCGTGAAACCTTTAGCGTGACAAGAACAACAACAGGACTCTGAGAAGTGAGGGGGGGCGTGTCCCCTGTTCGTACTGGCTGTGAAGAGATCTGTTCCTGACACAGGGACTCAGGACCAAACTCCAGGGAGAACTTTAAAGTAAAACCCAGGTTCCTAAGAGACCAGTGCAGCTCTGACCCTCATACAGGTGTCATATCAGGAGTCAGTCTAATAACTGCACATCTCCTCACCAGGTTTCTACCACAGAGAAGCTCCACTCACCTCAGGTGTGTCCGTCTGGATTCTCCTCCATCTGGTTGTCGCTCTGGTCTCCGTCGCTCCTTAATACTCGTGGCTGACGTCCTGGGGACACGGAGATTTTACTGTTCAAACACAGAGAGGGGGAAATTCTCATTAACCTGCAGTGAACCAGGATTTAAACAGACTGAGATGTGGGCACAGCTTCTTCATCATTACACACCGCTCCTCATCCTCTGCTGCAGGTACAGTACATTTACTCAGCTACTGTACTTCAGTACAACTGTGAAGAAGTTTTACTTTAGTATTCCTTTATTTTTTTACCAGTGTGTACTAGTACTCCACTACATTCAGGTTTCATACAGGCTTAAGTCCTGTACTGCTGGGAAGCTACTGTCCACTGCTGTATGTATGTAGACTCTGTTATTCATTGGAGGTAAATTACAGCGTCACAGCAGCTACTTCATATCAGAACACCTGTACCCGAGGACAACACCTGTACCTGAGGAGAACTGGTCTGAGTCGACAGAAAGCTCAGCCTTCTGTCTCAGTGAGTCCAGAGCAGAACAGTCAGTGAAGCTGGTTTGACATGTGAACCTGCTGACGACCGTCTGCGGCGACAGGACACTGGGCTTCGGTCTGGTTCCTTTGTCTGTATGTACTGGTGTACTGGTTTGATAACTGGTGGATAAGGTGACTGTGCAAACCAGAAAGGAGAGCGATACGCTCGTCCAGTCTGCTGGACATCGACGTCTGTATGTCACTCAGAGACGCACACACCACAGTGATGAGGCAGAAACAGGGGGACTTGGTGACAAAGTCCACGTCAGGGTCAAAGTTCAGTTCAGAGTCAAAACTGTAAGGAAAACCTCTGAGACAAATAAAGGACATGAGACCAAGAGCAGTTGAACACCAGCTCATTATTTATTCTGTTTGCACATCTCCAGTGTTTGCTGGGACACTGCTGCAGGACTGGGAGGAAACCAGTCCAACTGATTTA